TGCGTCTTGTTCTTCTCTCAGACGCATATTGTTTCTTCTTTCCTCTGCCTCAACCCTAGCCGTTACGAGAACATGTGAACTATCTTCTACCACTCTCTGGAGTAATGCAAGCATTTTCTCTGGAGTTCTTGGGCCCTCGACCTACCAACAACCAGAAAAAAAAAAAAAAAAAAAAAAAAGATACCAACAGCTAAGAAATAGGCCTCATCATCAAATCATACAATGCTAAGCTCAAATCAAATAGGCCTCGACTGTGATATTGGACCATTGATGAACACAGAACCTAACAATAATGCTACCCTCCACTCAAATCCCTTCAACAAGATAATAGAGGATTTAAGTCCAACGAGTTCTTGTAGGCAAATACCCAATTACCTGAGGGAACTATTCAGTTGCTGGATTCATCCCTATGTATTCAATCATTTCTAGAACTAGCTAAGGAAAAACATCATAAGAAGTGCCAGAAAATCTTGGGATCAGACAGAACAAAAGAACGTTCTTTTACCTGCAGAAGAAGAGCGATTCTCTGGTCAGCAGCTGGCATAACCACAGCGCAAAACGGGAACCTCGAAGCCTTCAAGCTATTGCTCATCTTAAAGCCCTCACTAGCCCGAATGCTACCTCCCCACGAAACGAAATTCTTGTTGACGAAAGCCGCGAATGCTTCGTTCCCTAGCGTCCTCTCGCAGAATCCAGGCGCGTCAGGATGATCTGGAGAGTGTAAGTAAACAAACAACAGTTTATACGAGCTCCTAGATCGCTGAAGCGCGTCCATGAACCCTTCCGATACAAAATTAGGCTTGATATCGGTAAAGTGATAATCCTCCACACAGCTCCCGGAGGTCCTCCCTCACCGCTAATTGTTCCTCCGGGATCGGGAGCCAGTTCATCACCGTCGACGATTCCGGCAGAAGGATAATCGGTCAATCCGTGGCCGGCAACGCCACCATGCGGAGATGGAAGCGCGATCGCCGCCGCAGGAAGATGAAGCGTCTTCGCGAGGCTCCGGAGATGTGAAGGAGGAGATGGAGATTTCGAGATCCCAGCCATGAGCCTGGAGGATCTCCTTACACAAATCGGCATCTTCAAGGCCTGTAATCGCCTGAAAGTAGGCCAATTTGTCGGCAACGTCAACCATAACCTTCTTCTTCCCAAAACCAACAAATGAAAGGATTTTCCCTCGCTTTTTCTTCTTCCCAAAAATGTTGGGATCTTATAAATTTTCACTCTTTATCTACAAACTGGAAAAGCTCTGTTGAAAAGGGGGTTTGATTTGTTTCAATGGCGAATGTCCTTAATTTACCGAAAATGTCCCTCAACTTTTATACATATAAACGAAAGAGCCCTACTATTTCGTAACAGCTTAAATGTGAAGTTTTGATCTTCAAAGCCCGGCCCAATAAGAAAATAAGTGCTGATGGAGTTGGGCTTTTAGTCGGAATCGACGGACATGAAAAGGATTATAGATAGATGTTTCGGTTCTGCTTGATTTGACTATCTTTCTCAATTTCTGTTTCATTGATTTTGTTTTCGTTGTAGGCTTGTAAACTATGCTTTCAAGCTTATACGTCAATATTCTGCGAACAAGATTTTTGAATGTTTGGTGCGTTCATAGTGATTATACCACAACCATATATATATATATCAGTCCAACACACACAAAGAAGACGTTCGAAAGTCTCTTTCCAACGCCTTATATGCGTAGATCGTATTCGTATCAGATCTTCTTTTTGTGTACCTGATTAATCTTATAGAATGTATTTTATTGTGTCGTATTTTGATATATATTTTATAGTACTCTTAAAGATGTGCGTTTTTAAAAAAAAAATTGGGCAGAAAATGAATGTTTTCCGACAGAAAGATATCGGTCTAGAATTTTTTTGATTAACCTTCAACTAGGAAAACGAAAAATATGTTATTAATCTTCGTAGTCAGCAACATATTTGAACTAACCAGAAAAGAAAAAAAAAACATATTTTAAAGAATACTGATATTCTGCAGTTTACGACATAACTTTTCTTTCTGTGATTTTAAAACCAGGATGGTGTATGGTATCCTCTTGACTTAATTTTGTAACTTTAAGCATAATATTAATAATAACTCCAATCTCAAAATTGAAGGAAAGACGTCTAAGATCTGTTTTCTAAGAATGTAAAATGGATTTATCTGTTTGTATTTTGAAATCATACGTGGTCATAACTAAGAACATACTCTCAAAATTTACAAATAAAAGAAATGAAAATTCATATACAATATTGTTTTTAGCAAACTCATATTAGAGGAATGAAAGGATGAATGTATCTTTCGTATTGCCTCATTGCATATGCATATCATAAAGAAGAAGGACGTCACGTTTTTGAATCGTGATTCTAAATTAAAAATGTACCATTAGAAGTTTTGCAATAGGTTCGCTACATCAAATTCGTGGATACGCCAATAGATCGACGTTTAACAATAGATCGATCTGTCAAAAGTTGATATATACATGTAGAAATGAGTCATGCAACAATAAAGTGGACACAAACACAAGTCATGCAACAATGAAGTGGACACAAACGCAATGCTATTTTGAACATGAAAAAACGCAAGGTTTCATCAACTACACTACCTCAAACTTTTTTACGTTATTGTGACTTTTGATAGAAATCTAGTTCTTTATGACTTCAAGAGTTGTAGAATACGGAAAAAAGCCAGATATATGGTAAAGGTAAAAAAAAATAGAATGGATTCCATTGGAATTCTAGAAAACAAATTTTTTCTGCGGTTCTTTGTAATTGATCGTGTAACTATCAATCATGTTATCATCTTAAATTATTACATTTTTTATTATTATTATCGTATCGATATAGATGGTAGCTTGGAAAAACTACCAATTTGTCTTCGATCCCTTTGTCTCACCAAACCATATATATATACTAAAAATAAAGAGTTGAATAACATTGCAGTACAAGTCTTCTACTTAGAAATTCAAAATCTTTTTCCATCAGACATACATTCTTAGTTACCAAAATATTCTTAGCTATTATTATCCCATGATGTGAAACTATATAATTCCTTTTAATACCTGATGTAGTATGTACATTACATGTCATGGTCCATCCTATCATCCTATAAAAGTATAAATTATATATAATACTCCACTTGCCGAACAACTTGATTTCTACTTTCGAAATCAATGTAGACTTACAAAATCTACAATTGATAATAAACTTTCATTTAGTTGACATATACACAATTCTCAAAAAGAAAAAAACATGAAAAACATATAAACTGTGCTTAAACTTAATGATGTACTAAAATCATGACATAAACACAATTGCATTAGTCGTGGTTAAAACCTCTCTCACTAATTCTTAAGTAATGCTAAGAACATATAAAAAAGGCCTAACAGGTTAGCTCTTCAAAATTTATATAACTTTAGAGAAAAAAAGAACATTTAGACAAAATTTAAATAAGAACAACATTAAAATGTTTGAGAAGGATTAATCATGATAAAGATTCGAATAATTTTACCGGCGTGGATTTATTCGAAGTTGCTGAGCTACAAGATTGAGAGATAACTTAACTTTTTTTTTTTAAAAGAGAGATAACTTAACTTGACGTCTATATAATTTAATTTTTAAAATGTTCCACCCCACACTAGAACTTATCCGTAAGATCACATCCATGTCTTCAACACGAACACATCGAATTTAAAAACTTAGTGTGGAAGTATGTTCTTGAGGTCGAGTCATTGCCACTTTCAGACAAAATTATTTAACGTTGGTCGGATTCTTTTTCTCTTTCATTATATAGTGGCCACCACAAAACACCAGTACACCACCCAAGTCCTTTGACCTCGATGTCTTTGTTGTTCGACACCATAATCTTGTAAAAAATATTTTTAATTAACTTGAAAATTTTTGTTTTACGCTAAACAGAAATTTTACGAGATTGTAATAAAATTCTTAGAATCGTTTCTTTTGACAGTAAAATTAAAAGCAATTTGAACAAGTAGTATGTGCGTTGAGTATCAGCGGTTATAAAAAAAGAATACTACCAAAAAAAAAAAAAAAAACAAAAGAGCAAGGGTCAAGATCTAGATTGATGAAGTTGAAACCATAGTGGTGTGTATAATTTCAAACACACAGATTTCAAGGAGAATGTTTCTGTAGGCCCCACCTTCCTCAATCCTTAGACTTGTGACATCTCTCTCACATTATTCTTCCCTCTCTTTATTTTTAATTTTTAATTTTATTTATCGCCTCTTCAGTCTACACATCGTAAACCAAACACAACTTTATTTCACTTTAAATTGTTTTCCTAACCAAAACAAATCTAGAACAAGTCTATGAAATCAACATTTTCCAAACTCACTCACTCATGCTATACATAAAATCCTAATGTATCGATTTGATTAGGTACATTTCCTTGTTATTGTAAACGAACCCAATCACTTGTTTTTGTGATCAGAAACGAGCCCAACAATTAAATTTAGATGGAAAATGGTTTTATTAATTAATTGGGATGGTAGGGTTTTCACCAGTCTTTGGCAATAAATAATGTATTTAGTGGGGATCATGTGAAAGTCATCAGAGCTTACCTGTCTCTTTTGATTAATTCCTCTTAATATTTTTTTTCTAAACGTTCCTGTTCTTTAACACAACAACATCCATGCGTTGCGTGGCCAAAACAAACAAAGATATAGTAGTATCACTATCATCCTATGCTTTTTTTGTGTGAAAAGGATTATCATACTATGGTGTTGCCGATAATTAGTTACACTTACACACTATATATACAAAACATTTCGCATTCATTTGTATATAACGTCTTCTATTATTAGTGGAAACTAAATAAGACATGAAAAATAATTTCGACAAGAGAAGGAACATCAAAAGACCAACCAATGTATCATTTATATCCTGTGTTAGCGAGCCATAACAAAATTTAAAACAAATTAAAGTCATTCAATATGCATGCACCCCCCTCCCCCCCCCCCCAACCCAAATAATATCCGTAAATCCAAATAAACCCCAAAATTAAAACACACAAAAACCCACCAATAAGAACATTGAAAGTGAATTTTAGGACCGATTGATTAATTAAATAAATAAATAGCAATAATTAACCATTAATGATAGTACTATCTTCATCATCAAACTGAGAAAAGTTAGCACCATGATCCTCCACTCAACATCCCTGTCCAATACCCAGGAGAAGAAGCAGCTGCATCACCACCACTTGCTCGCTTCTGATGATCATTAATGTCGACATTAATTGTTGCTGATGAAGAAGAAACTGGCAATTTCAAATCCTCAAATGGAAACAAGTGTCTTCCATTCACAGCATCACCACCTTCTCCTCCTTCTCTTCCTTGAAATCCTCCATGGAATTCATTATTATGATGATGATCTAATGAAAACCCTAGGAGTGTTGTGTTTGTGTTGCAAGGCTTGTAATGATCTTGCATTGAAAACCCTCCAGATGTTGGATCTTGATTATGAACTGGAAATCCCATGAATGAAGAATTTAAAGAATTCCCATTGTTATTACTGTTTCTTATGAGATCCAGAGAAGAAGTTGCCATAGCTGACGTGGCAGAACATGAAGAACTAAGCAATGGATTGTTATTGATAGCGTTCTTGTTGTTGTTGTTGTTGCTCCCAATGTTGTGGATGAGGTCAGTGAAGTTGGTCCTGACCAACCCATGTGACGGAAAACCTAAATTGAGATCTTGTTGAGTCGTGTCAAGGAATTTAGGGTTTTGACCGGTCAACCCTTGTTGAGACATGCTCATGAGGTGGTGATGGTGATGATCAGAGAGATGCTTCTTTGTCGCTGGTTGTGTAGTATCCGAGTGATTGTTGCTAATATCAGAAGAAGAAGAGATTGAAGTAGAGTGAGATCTCTTGTTCTTTCTTGAGCCACCACCAACAGGGATGTTCCTAAGCGAACCGCCTTCGGTCCAATACCTTCTACAACCTTTGCAGAAGAATCTTGGCTGCGTCAAGCTATAATTGTTGTAGTAACAAAACTTTGTGTTGATTGAGTTACATCTTGGGCAGTTTATAGCTTGGTCCTTTTCTGGCCTTGCCTTCCTATCAGCTCCACCAGCCGTCCCAACCGCTGCTGGCTGCTGCGGCTGAGGCGGTTGCGGCTTTGGGCATGTGTTTGTTACTATTTCTTCCAAGGGCTTCACTACAATCTCCTGATCATCAAAATCACAAAAATAAGCAACTCTTCTAACCATCAGCACAAAAATCTAGACTTATATATACGTATATGTAAAGACATAATTAACATATATGTGTTTAATTATGAACAAATAAATGGTATTTCATCAAGATAAAAATGATTGGAAAATTTGAAAAAGGTTTATACTAAAAACATAAAAGAAAAAAGCAAATTAATAAAGGGTAAAGTGAAAAACCGTATAGATAATATATATAAAACGGTTGAAGAGAAGAGAATATCACAACAAGGCGATCCAAAAACATTTAACTCAAGTTAAGATCAAGTACTGAGCCAAAGATGTATCAAATGACCTAAACTACATCATCATATATATGCATATATTGAATTGTAAAAATATAGGTATATAATTAAACATGTATATATATGATTGTCTATACCTGTGGCCATTGAGCCGTATCCATAGATGAACGTCCTCAGATTAGCAGAAACAAAACTTGATCTTTCCCTTTCTTAATTTAATTCTAGATTGGGAAGACAAAAAGCTATGTTTTTTTTTTTGTTGGTTGAAGAGAAAGGAAATTTTGATGGCTGAGAAATCTTTTTTGAATGAGGAAACTTCTTTGTAAGCTTGTCTGATCACATTTGCTTTATGGAAGAGAGAGACAGAGAGAGAGAGGGAGAGAGCGCAAATTGTAAAATATAAGATTATTGAAACATTCCGAGTGGGAATCTTTGTCGTACTGAAAATAAACAAATACAACATACGCGTCGGTATATAATATATGCATGTATGTATGGGCTTATATTATATATATATAATATATTATATACATATACATTTTTCTTTTATCACATGGACTCTCAACATTAACAACATTTATAAAAAATTTATCCCAATAATAACATTTAAACACTCATCGTTAAATTTAACAGTCGATTATTGTTCATAGAGAGACGTACTTTCGAAAACAGACAAGAAACTGCTGGCGCTATATGTGTTTAGCTTTGAATTTTGCGTTGGAAATTTCTCTAATTGTTAAGGTTTTATTATTCTATATTACAATATAAGTAATCGTCTAAGCTATTTATGTATAATCGATAAAAAAATTGAGTTTTGGTAAGTTGATTATTGTATTGTAAGCCGACAAAAAAAATTATTGTATTGTAACATGTTATTACTTTCTAAATTACATGATTAACTGATTTTATATTTTTATAATTAGTGATATAAATTACTTAATCCATTCGCAATGGATTTTAGCTTTTTTTTTTTTTTAACTGCAGCTGGAGCTTTAATGCGTTAACTCAGAAAACAAGTTACATGTGTAAATCTTATTCGTCATATACTAAATATGTGTTTCTTATTTTGGAAATATTTTGACTGTGTGTTGTGATTTTAATACAACATCAACAATCATTTTCTAATTGTTTAATTAGTATTTTTAACTTGTTCTTTGTCAATTCAAGTGAATTTTCAAAATTTGAAAATCCGAGTCGGATTGAATTTTGGTCATTAGTTAGGTATTGGATATTTAAGTCTTAACGTCCACAACGATTTCAATTATGCTCTTTAAATTGTACATCAAAATTTCCTGATTTGATTTGAATGCCTGAGCTTAAAAGTAGATAGTTCTCTTCTTTTGTTTCAAAAGTCGACTGCTCTTTCATAGTAAAATGACGGAAAGTGGGTTCTTTACCCAAAATTTAGTTATTATGGTTTTTAGAAAGTTATCGGGCAATAGTTCTGCAATATTTTGATTAAAATATAACCAGTAGGCAGTAGATATACTTTTTCTTCAAATATATATATATATATAAATATATAAACTATACACATATTAGTTAAATAATTATCGATTTAATTCAAAATTATTTATATAAAATAAATTTATTGATATGTTAAGAGACAAGTTTTAATGATCATGGGTATGTTGTTATTGTTACGCGTGAAATATATCTTATAATTAGACTACTCATCCATACAACTAACACTATGTTAGTGCATGTACAAAATCTGCTTGTTACTGTATAGCATTACATAGCAATATAGCATATTACTTTACAAGTAGAATGCATCCGCACAACTATATTATACTACATCATTACATAATTGAACGTAAAATCAAGACTTTATGCACGGAGATATTTGTGTCATTCTTTTTTAACTATCTTGTTAGAAGTTTATATTTCTTTATAAAAAATATCATCGAGTGAAAGAAATTAAAGATGTCCAAAAGCTATATAAAATATGAACTGTATACTAGCATATTTGTACGGATGAATTAAATTCAAGTACTTAACAAGTTGACCATCCATTGACGAATCGACCTTTTTTATTCTCTCTTATATGGTCTACCTTTTTTATTCTTAAAAATCAAATAAAAACAAAATGAATATATATCATATAAGTTTTTTTCAACATATATTTGGCACTTGTCTACACGTACAAATATTATGTGTGAAATGTTAAGAAGAGAAAACCAAACATACCGCATAAAGGTCCACATGCCCCAGAGAAGAAAAAAAAAAAACTCATCTGTTATTCAAACACTTATCCGTCTTTCACGTGTGTCTTAAGATTCCAATTAGGCTATAATTACCTGTATCGCACGAATTTAAACTGATTTTTCATTTGAGCGGTCACGATCTACTCAGTATTTCCAAGGACGTTTAATCATGACGGTGTGTTCGATTGATTAGTCTGGGGCCTCAGATTTAACATGGCCTATGTGTCATCGCCACGTGTGCTATCTTAGTGTACAAAACAGCTCAGGAACACCTAATTTCCTTTTATTTTCACGTGCCACGCTCCCTTATTAGTTATCTACTTATCACCAATGAAGTTACCATATAATAAGATTAAAGAAAAATTAATATCCAGCACAGAACGCATGAAAAAAAAAGGTTCAAGTAAATCTTGTTCATTATATTAGTGTTAATATTAAATTTTAGATAGCTAAATACTTAAATTCATAATTTCATATGCAATGTATGCTCCAAAGTCCAAATTAAGATAAGATTTTCGGTAAACTAGATTAATCTTCATTTTCTCAAAGCAGTAAGCCAGTGATCATATCCGGGTATGAGATAATGACAAGTGTCGTAATTTGAGTTGACATAGGAGATTAATGAACGGTTAATACGACTTGTGGCCGGTGAATTTTGGGTCCCACATTTCCTCATGCGCGTGCTTTCTCTGATAATTCTCGCCGAAGGAAAGGTTCACCGAATCTGGACCGTTGGATTTACGTATGGGTCCCACGTAGTGCGTGGATAGCATCTTTAGAAGTTGCGGTCCATGTCAGCGTGTGTGGACAAACCCGCACCTTAACAACTTGCCATCAAAATGCAAACCGGCAACATAATCCACTTTACCAAACAATATTTCTTTTTCTCTCGAATACTTGAGCTAAGCCTTTTCATTTTGGATAAAGGGTCGGATATGGATCATTAAGGTATAAAAAAATTATTACTTAAATTTGTATCTTTGAAAAAATACAGGCTGGATAATGCAGGTAGGAATATGGTGGAAACGAATAAAGAAAAGATTTAGATAATTTCAATTGATTTTAGAATTTATTAGATAATTTGTACTTGAAATTATAGGAAAATTATGATTTCCTGAAATTCGACGTCGGTCATGGTGTAAATTGTAATGCACCTAGTCTAGAATGTCTTTATATGTTTCTTGTTTCCTTATATATATTATCTTCTCAAACTCGTGGTTGTAGCGATTATGAGGTATCTCTTTCTAAACGAGACACTTTAACTGGGGAGGTATATAAATTTTGTATTTGTAACATTCAATTTAGTTGTGTTTTATACTTTTATATTCGCTTGTTCGTCTAATCGGTAAAGTGATTCTCGGCGGAAGATTATACTTGGTTTCGTGCTATGGGATAATGAGGAAAAGAATACTTAGATATTCGACAGTAGTTTCTCTTAAGAAATGAATCCAACCAAATTACTCTTGGGCTTTTAGAAGACTACTAAATTTTAAACCTAAAGCCCATGATAGATTACACCACACCTAGGTTAATATTAAACGTCACCATTTGAAAAAATCATGGGGCTTAGATGATCCTAAACTCAAGTTTTAAACCGTCGAGGTGTTCAACCATTTTACGATGTACACTCTACGACTCTACGTGGAATATCAATCGATAAATTTCCAAAAGAAATCAGAAAGTTAAGAAGCCATGCAGATTATTGGTACAAACACACGTGCATTGCGCAAGCTAGCTACTACATAGTAGATAGTACAAACACTTTAGATTCAAAAGCCAAGAACTCTTTTTAATATCCCGCATGGACTTTGAGGGTCTAATTACACATTTGGGCTTTCTATTTTAAAAATTATGCCTTCTCCGAATAAAGATATAGGTCCATTAAAGGGTGCTTCGCCCTTAATTGCCCTACACAAATTGCGAATTGTAGCTCTTCGTATGGTAAAGGTTATATATGAATATATGATCACCGATTAAGTCTCCAAGTCTTGATGCTATAAGATTGTATCTGTATGTAAGATGTGTCGCACGTGTCAGCTATTTTGCGTCAAAACTTCCACGCTTGCTAGATTATTGTAACACAACACTACTGATGTCAAAAAAGAAAGATGTTTATTTTATTAAACTAAAGTGCGCTTAAAAGTTAAAACTAACGAAGTATGTGCATTGTTGCTTGTTTAAGTTTTAATCTCTCTTATTCGAGCCAACCTTCTTCTCCTTTTTTTCTTTTATGTAATTATTAAGGACCGAGCAATCTGATGGCGCACGAGAGCTTCTTTTTTGAAGGAGTGAAAACCCCTGGCGCATGTTAGTAGGGTCTCTTTTATAAAAAGGAAAAGAAAAGAGAGAGAGACCCACGAGCAAAAGTATTATCATGCGCCATTTTATATGGTCCTAAATCTTAAAGTCCCTTCTAACCGATTCCTATCTAACTTTTTTCTCACTCACTCTTTTCGTATTATCATTTTCTTTGTTAATTTCTTCATCCATATCCATAGCTTTTTTTCCTTTATATTATCGGTATACAGTTTCCCCTATTTATCTTAAATGAACAGTTGCAGAAAGTCAGAGTATTTAGTACTTCGAATATAATAGAATATACAAAATGAAAAAAGAAACCTCTATTTTTCAGGACTTGTTATATTTAAATATATAAGAAAATAAAAGTAAATGCAAAGTGCAAACTCATTATTTAAAAAAGAAATTAACATCCAAATAGCATCAGACGTAATAACAAAACAGTAATGGAAAGCCAGGACTTCTTTTTAATATCTCACATGGACACATGAATAGTCAATGTCAAAAAGATAGTATGAAAAGATAATTAGATAAATGAGTTAGAGAGAGATCTCACAGATCAGTCCAAATGAGTTAATCAGAAAATAATGAAAAGATGAGCAGAACTTCGGAGCACTTTCGAAACTAATGATTGACATTATGATTTCCCACTTAACTTTTAATATTCTGAGTTTAGTATAATAGTCCAAGTTGTACTTTACATCGTATATACTTTTAAAAAACCTCAAATTAGTAAATTCTGAATTATATAATAATTAGTATAAACAAAGACTATAATGCACATCAGCTTCCCATTAGTACTATAGAATTAGAAATCTAATGGTATGAAATATCTATCATCTATATATGTTTATAAGATATTTGATTACAGTATAAATTCGGGGATTAACTAAAGCTTCATATTTTTTCGTAAGCTAATTAGATTTTAATATATATATTTTCCTAAGAGTATAAAATAAGATAACTAATTACTTATTTTCTTTCATTTTTAGCTAAATGGGTCGAAGCCGGCCTTGGAATGTTGTTGAGTTACCAGAATCTCAGAAGCAGCCCATAATTTGGTAGCTTCGGAGGAGTTAGATCCGAGTCCAGACGGTGTCGTTTCATTACAGTCCGTAAAGTACTTCCCGGATACGTTCACCAACCTTGAATTTGTTGCCACGTAGCACGTCGTTGCTGCTGCCTAACCCATGCCAAAATAATAAACAACATTAACAAACAAAAAGGATAACTTATCCACCACAGATTATGTTACAACAATTATATTTTTTAAATAAAAAAAAACATTTTATTACCTGAGGGACGGTCTTTAGGAGCTTGGAAGCCAGGAAGAAGACGAGATCTGAGTAGGATAAGACAAATAGAAATCATATAATTAGATAAACCAATATGCTAATATTATGGGGCAAAAAATTAAGATAAACCAACCTGTCAATAAGCCTTCCCGGTCTCTTGTTAACCGGGTTTTAACAACACCTGGGTGTACGCAGTTTACCGTCACGTTCGCTCCAATTTTCTGCAATTTATCTATTCCATTAACTTCACTTTTCATATAATAAATTTTAATCACTTTTGTAAAAAAACCCACATGATTGTCTTAATCCTAACTTTGGTCAACAAGTCAAAATAAAAATGTAGTGTGTGACTTAACTAACTCTTTTTATATAGATCCTAAGCTATCTAGGTTTCTTGTTGTCCACTTCCCATACCTTTCATTTACACTCAAAAAATCAATAAATCCTTTTGACAAAAAGCCTTTCAGAAATTGGACCATTATTATGACACGTTATTAATTACCACCACAATGCTTCTTGGTTCTTTTTTGGAAAAAATAATTTCTTTTGGGGGGAGTAATGAATTTGAATGTAAATAAGAGAGAGAGAGAGAGGAGGAGAGAAAGAGACCTGGAGTCTAGAAGAGAGCTCCTTGGTATGCAAAACGTTGGCTAGCTTCGAGAGAGCATACGCACGTGTCGCATCGAATTGACTAATCGATCATCCACACATCAAACAATAAAAATAAAGACTATTACATTTACATTTCCAAAATGTCAAAACTCTTTGCTTCCTTTTCCCATTTATTACCCTCCTATCAACTTACTGTCACTCATCAGTCAAAAAATTAACAACTACGCAGCTTTTTCCTTTGGTAAGAAAGTAATTTTTCCTCAACATTATTTTTCACCTTTCAAGAACACCAATCCTACTACATATTTTCATATTTAGCGTCTAGCTAGCTATGTGTTCGTTGCATATTTACGTTCTCAATTTGACTTTGAAAATGTCATGGAACATTTAAAGCCTCTTGATGACAGAATTAAAAGAAACCTTACCACTTGGGTTGGGAAATCAGCCGGAGATATCCTATCAAGTCGCCGGAAAACCAGCCGTGAATACCCGACGTGACGTTAACGATCCTTCCTTGAACTCCTGTTTCTTCTGCCGTTTGGATCATCTTCTTTAGCAACAGACTGGTCAAGAGAAAATGGCCTGATGATTTTTTAAAAGTTTGTTATAATTAAGAAAGCAAATTAATACAAAAAGAGAAAATCTTAGTATAATGAGAAATTAAGATCTGTCATAGACAGGTGAGGGAATCGTATTAAGAAAAGATTACCTAGATAATTAGTAGCAAATGTCATCTCGATCCCGTCTTCGGATATTGCATGTTCATGTGCTAATTTCCCTGCGTTGTTTCTGATTCAACATTTATATACAAAAATGAAATCAGTGAAGATAATCATTTAAACCAAATCCGATTCATACAAAAAATTAAGAAATGATATTATGTTCTGTTCACTTAAATTCCCAGGAGCAGCCGCACGTATACGTGTATAAATATATACACATGCATACAAAATTATTTTGATTATGTTAAACTTGTTTTTGAAAAGCAGATATACACAAATAATACTCCAACATGAAATTTCAGAAGAAGATTTTTTAAAAAAATGAAAAGGGAAAAGGTTAATGAGGAATTTGGCTTACATGAGAAGATTAAGAGGAAGATCGAGAGATTCGAAATCGGAGACGAAACTCCGAACGGAGGAGATGGAACTGAGATCAAGCTCCATAACGACGATCTCCGTCTCCGGAAACTCAGAGACGATCTTTCCTTTCGCTTCCTCCGCAGCTTTCACGTTCCTCGCCGGAAAAATCAACCTCGCTCCTCGTTTCGCCAGCACTCTCGCCGTCTCCGCTCCGATCCCCGACGTCGCGCCTATTTCACCAAATTCATTTTTAAAATAAAATGAGAATTAATCCCGACGAATCGACTCACCGGCAACTCGAACCGGAGAGAAAAAAACTCACCGGTGATTATCGCTGTGGTGGAACGAAGGTCGCAGTTCTCCGTCACCTCATCTGCGGTGGATTTAGAGCCGAAACCGCTCGCACCGGCGGCGCCGATAAGGTATTTTCCAGTCTCGATCATTTATCCGTCGGAGATTTTCTGTTACAGGCGACAGTTATTTCACTGACGACTCTTCTCTTCTCTTTCCCAAAAAAATATTAAAGCCACAAAAAAAAAAAAAAAAAAAAACAGAAGAAGAAGAAGAAGGAACGTATTTGCCGTTTTCAGTTATGAGGGTATAATGGTAAAACGAGATATCCTGAGAAAACTCTCTCACTCTCTGTTTCGCTTGTCAGGTTTTTGTAGGCAACGCCGCCTGGCAAGGGAGAGAGTTATGAGAAGAAATAGTAATGTGTGGTATTTATAGTCAACTTTGATTGATGAAGTAAAAAAGGCAGATACAACTTTTATCAAAAGGATCGGTAAAAAAATTAAATTATCATTCTTGTACTCTCTTCCTGTTTAAATAATTCCACAGTGGTAGGTCTAGTTGTATATATTAATAGTATATTTTAATTTTTATTATAATATTATTTGTCAACAATAGTGTTTCACATTGTTTAGTTTTAAATATATTTAAATTATTTTTAATATTTTAGCTTTTATTTTGAATTAAAAACTTCTTAAAAAAGCTTCCAATTTATCAAAAAGACATTGCCTAGGGTAATTTCTCCAAGAGCAAGATATTTTATCTCCTTTTAAAGATTATTAATTAAGAAAAAAAGAGAATTTGTTATAGTCACATAAATATTACAACCAGTAACATTAACATCTAAAAATTACATTTTCTATCATTAGATAAAAATGTGCCTTTGTAAAACAAGCAAAAGTCATTTTAAAAAGGTAGGTCTCTTGACCAAACAAAAAGCAAAAATTAGCTACATACTTATCCATTTCACTTTTTTTTTCATAATAAACTTTAAATCTATAAAGGTTAAGAAATTCTTTTAAAAAATGGAAAAAATCTAAACTATTGAAGGGAAATTAAGGGGGGTTATTGGGAGTTGGATTTATGAAGATTTTAGTTGATTTTAAAAATTATGAGATTTGTCAAATTTTTAAGAGTTTTGTTGGATTAGTAAAATGTAGAGAGAGTTTTATGGATTTAAACAATCTATTAAGAATTTTTTAATATGACAGATTTTGAGAATCCAAGAGATATAAGTAGTATTTTGAGAATCATGATTTAGGAATTAAATTACAAAGAATCATTATGCCAATAACACTAGATTATAACAGAATCATAGAATCATTAAAATGCAGACTTTTTGAATAACAATGGATTTTGATTAGATTATAAAAATCATCATATCAATAACAACTGATTTTTATAATCTCTAAATGAATAACAGATTAATCTATTAAGAATATAAAAATCCACAAACCAATAACTATAGAATCTTAAACTCTAAAAATCTTTATAAATCAACTCTCCAATAACACCCCCTAAAACATGTCAATGGTCAAATCATCAACTTTTGGTATGGGTTGATTTTTTATATGATTATATCTATATTTAGAGAGCTATCATGTGGGTTTTGGTAATTATTATTTTTGAACTTATGTAAATTTGGAAGGAAAAAAAAATCTTCACTATTCAAAGGAAAAATAAAACATATAAATGGTGTAATGGGAAACAAATAATCAACTTTTGGTATGGGTTGATTTTTTATATCTACATTTAGGAGAGCTATCATGTGGGTTTTGGTAATTATCAATTTTTAAATTATGTCACTCAATGTATTGATGAATACTTTATGAACATTTGGGTCAAACCTAATTACTTATTTTTATTCGAAATAATTAAATAGTTGTCAGTCTGATTCGGTTATAAATTAATGATTTTCTTTCCTATTTTCCATGACTAAATTTTCAGTTATCGAGCTCAGGAAGAGTTTACTAATCAGTTACTGGCGCTTATATTTCTACAAGGAAAACAATGTAAGGGAACCAAATAAAAAACGGAAAAGATTGTCGTCGAAGGCAAATATTAACGGTCAAAAGGCCTAAGGTTTGACTCACCTGTAGGAGACAATTATACAATCGGTGACGTATTAGTTGTATACTTGGTGAGTTGGTGCCACTCATTAACTCATTATTCTATCCTCATTTACAAATCCTCAATAGTTCAATTAAACAAAATAATCATAATTAAATAATGTGTGTATTTAATTATTTTTCCTATATCAATCTCGGAAGAAACGCTGGTCTTGGGAGTACCGGAAACCATAGTTGTTTGATGAAAAAGAAAAAGAAAAAGAAAAAGGAATAATGTTAAGTATGCTGTCTAGTTTACAAAACAATAAGTACGGTGCATTAAAATAATAATGCTCAAAGTTCTTAAAACAAAAACAAAACAAAATGTTGCAATAACCAGAGAAATGGTTTAAAAAAACAAATGCAATTAAGTTATTTGAGTAAGTTACAATGGATTCAGTTAAATAGATTTTACGTTTGAGTAATAGATTTTACGTTTGAGTAATAGTTTAGTAAATTTTTGTCAAAACGTATATAGGGACTATATACTATGCGGATAAAGAAATGATTAGAAGTTAACCAAAAAAAAAAAGATTAGAAATGAATGACATTCGAACTACATATTTTTTTCTTCTAGTAAAACAGTTAATTTGGTGACGAAAGTGAGACCGGCGAGTAGTTGAAGCGGTAAATGTGAAACGGCAGGAGAGGCAATATGGGAAGTAGAATTACAAAAGAAGAATCTTGCAAGAAGGTTTACGCACGTGAGCTTTACAAACTGCGTGCTGGATCGCTCCTCCTCTCCCTTGGAACACGGTCACTGATTATTTATTTAATTTGTTTACTAATTAGCTTGGTTATTAATTATTAGCGATCAATCATTTTTCAATAATTCAGTGTTCATCATGTCTCCGTAACATCCAATACCATCTTTTAAGGCTTCTAAATTGTTTTATTCGTTATTAGTTTTTGTGAAGAGTCATCCAATGATTACGTTCGAAAACTTGTTGAATACAAAGTTCACATGCACCTCTCACGAATGAACATCTTTACTAGAGAAAAACAAAAGTTAAAATATAAATACGAAACTGTTTCACAAATTTATATAACCGGTGTAACAATACATACGCGTGCTTCTATAGGTATAAAAGTGAATTGAATTTTACGGTTATCAGCATTCTGTTCGAATTTAACTTTTTTCAATATGGAAGTCCTGAAATTTGTTTTCTACTCGTTGCTTTAAAAAATATTGAAAATAAACCAAGTTTAAAGCAAATTTTGATTAAATTGTAGAGGAGTCAATCGAATGATCATATTTTCTTAACTTTCATATTATTCCACTTAACTCTATCACTGTATACACATGTCGTTTAATATTATCTCATTATATTTCTTGTGTCTCTAGTCTCTACCATGTGGAATTTACGGGATTCATCGCTAAATCCATTAAAATGGCATATTTCTACAACCTTTGAAGTTTAAACACATTTCAAAAACCCTAGAACTTATGTATAATTGTATATATAGATTTCTTGATAATTTTTGTTTCACATCCGAGAGCTTTATGCTATATATATGTTCACTTTCATAGAAATCATAGCAACAAACGACGGTAGATAGATATTAAACGGATGCAAAGCTTCTGCTTCTTTGTCATTTTTTGTTTGTATTGTCTCTTGAGTACTAGATTCCAGCTCATTGACATGATGGTAGCTCGATTGAGCTTATAAACCGAGAGTAATTTTGAGTGAATTTTGAACTCGTACTCTCAACCAGTGTTACCCACTTTTTTTATCTCGAGACAATGTGTCAATGTGTATGTGTTGAAAGTACTCCTTTTGATCTAGTCTACACTGAGTGCTCTGGTTTTGTCAGAGACTTTATGTATAAGAGACTCTTTGCTTCTATAGTTTTATATCCAGTAACCTAGTTTTTGTAAAGGTCAACTAATATTTATTACGTAACCAAAATGTATCATCCCTGCAATTTGTTTCCCGAAAAATGGTTATTGAGAATCTCCTACTGACAGTTTCAACATTCTTACCAAACCATCTATTAAGAAATGAGAATGATGATATTGATAAAATTATATGCGTCGTTATCTAATCAGTTATCAATATGACATATTCTACTGAATTGTAAAGTACCTTTTGTATTGTTTTCTATGATGAATTTTCTTTTCTGGCTAATGCGTTTCTCTTTTGTTATAATTAGAAAAAAGGTAAAGTTCCTCATGATAGCGAATGGAATGGCGCTTACTTATCAAGCGAAAAGGTGTCATGGGACAATATATGGTTACATACATCAATCATAGATATATAACACAATCTGTCACAATATAAACTGATTTTTTAAAATATTTAAATTGTTTAATTATTAGTAGAAATTAATAAAAATACATTAAGAAATCTACTTTGCTCCAATATATATATCCAGAGTCGTGTCCACATTAATTGAGACCCTAAACAAATTTCCAAAAATACAAAAAAATTAAGAGAGAAAAATATACAAATACCACAGTTAGAGATTTAACATCTTATACTACTTTTTTTTAATATTTTAGTTTTGTTTTGATATTTTAATTTTGTTTTTAACTATTTTTTATATGAAAAAAATATAGAAACTATGTTGTAATATGAAAATATATATTTTTAAGCTTTAAAAGTATATATATACCTTTCAAATTATAATATTTTATATTTTTGGTAAAAATAAATAAGCTTTTCAAGATGTTAAAAAAAATTTGGCCTTAGGCCAATGTTTCAAAACTTACTACCTGTATATATCCAATATTCATAAAGAAGAATAGATGTTACGTACCATTCTTCACACTTACATGTGTTTTATATAATGATGACTTGGATAGCTATTTTGAGGTTTAATATAAAATAATTATGATAATTTGATTAGTTAATCATGAATTCGTACATTACAAGACTCATATCTACACGGGGATGAAGCGAAAACAGCTAAAACGCAAATGTTCAACACTTACCTAATGGTACTCGTGGTCCAGCTCCTACGTTCATAGATCACATATGAAAATATTAGCAAACAAAAAAAGATCGGGAAGTTGATTTGATTTGGCCGTTGGGGTTCGGTAGTGTTATCATTGGTGTTTGTTAAATCATTATGTTTTACGTTTACCCAATGAAAACATATTTACAAAAAAAAAAAATTTGAAAATGGCAAAAGCATATGCAACTTACAAAATAAAATAGTTTTGTTTGTTAATGTATCCCTCTGGCATTCAGGATGTGTTTGACTAAAACAATAAATGGTTTTTAAGATGTAAGAATAATTATTACCGAAACAATTCAGCCATGCTAAACTGAAACTGAAACTAACAAAAACAATCGAACAGTCCGTATTCTATAAAAGTTTTTTTGGTATGAAGAGGGAAAGACATAGTCCGTATTCTATAATTTATTACAAACGGTTATTAAAATAAAAGGTTAAATGATTTTATTTTATTTTCAAAGTTAAACGTGTTTAAGTTTGACTAATGAGAAAGTGCACATGGGGTTTTGGGAAGCAAAATGAATTTTGACCAGCAGCAAACCAATCCCTACTTGGACGGAAGATTCTCTATGCATAATTCGTTGGCATAATCTAAACTATTAACCATTATTTTCCACCCTATTGGTATTTTTGAATTTGATTTTAAGTTTATAGCCAAGATTTTTATATAACTGCAACTTGTGTTCCCGATTCTAAAAGTAGTTAACGGCCAACTAAAATAAGTAAATTACCAAAAGAATTATTTCTTAGACTTATTGTTGTCAAATTTAAGACAAAGTAGAAATTAATAAAAGTGAAAAGTTAACGGTACATTATTTGATTATTATTGATGAACTACTTTTCGGTGTGTATTGGTTAACATTTTAAAATTTCTGCTCATATCACAAAATACAGTAAATACTCAAAACTGATTTTATGTATTTGTTTTTGTGTTTGTCGCTATTGTGACAGAACAAAACGACGGTGATCACATCTTTAAAAATAAAAGAAACGACGATGATCACAAGATTCACAACAAGTAACAAATGAAAACAACGATAGGGAGTGTTGCTAGAAAAGAGAAGTGTTGCTCTACGATGACCCCGTTGTTCAAAAAGTGTTTCTTAGAATTTCAGTAACCAAACCATGCTAGACGTTAACAACACCATTACACCAACAACCATCTTTATGGACAACTTTTTACTTGGTTTCTGAACGTCGTAGTCGACGTCGTTTTGATCTATCGCAATCTGTCAGTGCCACAAGTAAAAGAAAACACCGTATACTGGTGATTTAAATTTTCTTCAAAGCACATTAGTTGGTTTTTTAAAAGGGGAACTACTAACTTTCTTCATTATTTTAACAATTAGTAACAAGTAATGCCAACACAAAGCTGAACGTACTCTTATCTTAGATGACAACTAAAAGGTATAACAAAAGGGTTAGTTTTAAAATAAAAATGAGTCTAATTAATCAAACAAGCTGCAATATTTCTTTTACGTCTAGTACAATCTGATTCATACATTCGGAGATTCTGTTTATGATCACCTTTTTCCAACTTATACATACCTTTTCTAACTTAAATTAAATATAACTACGGATTAAACGAAATTCCTAAACTAAATATATATTTGCTGCCAACTATATTTGACTATAAACCACTTTTGAGTACTCATTAGTCATTAGTCACTTATTTAAGTAACTTCTAATTATAATTCAGCTCCCACTCACCCATCTGAATCCAACAACTCAAATAACACCAAATTAAGTGTTAGTTTCCATGGATTTCTAGTCATAATTTATTGTGAATTGATTAGTTTATTGCTCTCGACTTAGTATGTAGACATGGCTTTAGCTGGGCAAGCCGATTTTTCTTGCTCGTAGCCGCAGCTTTGCGTGCCGGTGCCGCAATGATATGTTTCGGGAGTTTTGAATGAATTTTCCTAATTTTTGATCGATTCACACTATTATGTTCGTTTTTTCATTTAAACAATGTTAATCATTTAGTGATTTTTTTTTTTAATAACAAGTAGATTACACAAAAGCTAATCCCTTTTCAACATACAAGGAATCACAACCGTTGGAGTAGCATCAAGATCAAACATTATAAAATTCAAGAGTTTCGGTTTGATAAATCGTGGAATTCTATACGGTGTAATTTCTTAGATGGGATCAAAGTGAGATGATTTTTTAAAATGACTAAAAGTATTTTTAAAATAGAAAGAAAAGGACAACTTCTTCAATGATTGCCACTCTTTTGCCCGGCCCGCCCTTAAACCAAATTGTGAGTTTTGCAAGTAGAAAACTCTAAACACTGTATTTTTTGTTCTTAATAAATTTAAGGTAAACACAAATATTATAAGTGCGTAAACTTAAATTTCAGTTACTTTCTTTATGCATTTTGTCGCCTTTCTGAAATCTCACTTAATCTTATATCCATGGTCAAAAGAACATGTACTAGTATTAGTATTAGTATTAATAGCTAGTACATGTTCCAATTATGATCTTAGATATAACACCACATCTATCAGTTGCATATCTCTTACATCCTTAAATAAACGACATACTGTTGATTTGTTAACAGCTACTTATTTTGAATATTGGAGAATTTTGTTTTCCAGATTTACATTTCAAGGACACCAAAAGGGAAGTTAGTTTGTCCATTACTCCAAAGAATCTATAAAGTGGTTTAGGCAGAGAAGATATTATGAATATCTTAATTTGATATGTCATCTTATTACCACGTGTAACCAACTGAATCCACCAGTTTTTCCATGTACCAGTAGATGCTTACTCTACATATACTATTTTTTCTTGGCTAATTAGACTTTCATTCATATATCTTGTAATATTATGTTTTGAATCTTATGCTTGTATTGTATCCACCCCAAAGCCCCCTAATTCGTTTTATAGCTTACGCAGATTTCGATTTAACAATATGTATGAACCAGGTTACAATTTTTCGTTGTTTGTAGTAGATATATATTCAGCTTGAGAAGATTTCAAAAATACTGACGGTTTGGTTCTGTTATTGATTGCTTTAGAATTGGATTAGAATTTATTTGACTAACAGCAAAAAGAACTGGATTAGAATTTTGTAATTATTTTTTTTTATATAAATCACAAGAGGCTAAAGCTCGTAATTTCATGGCTTACCAAAAATCTAAAATATAAGTCAATCCGTGTTAAGTGAGGTTCCCAGTTTAGGATCATCTTGCTTGGTTCGACACATTTACCATTAGAAAATCTATTACAAAAATAAACTTTGAATTTCCTTTTTTCAACTAGACCTTTTATCATAATATCATTTCGAACTCTAAAACATTCTGAGAGAAAACCCCAAAAGATCCACAACAAAGAAGCTACGATCAAATTGTCATTACCATAAAGTCTTATAAGTTTTCTGGTAAAAAAGTTTATATGAGATAAAAATGAGTATTTCCTTTATTTAATGTTTAATACCAAAGCAGTAAATCTACGGTTCGATGCTGAGGTCAGAGGGCCATCCAAACTCCTCCAAAAATGCTAATATAACCCCGTTGGACCATCCAAATCCCGTCTGCAATTTTCGCAACATTAACAAAGTCAACAAACTTGGAATAAAGTCAACAAGAATGCTAATTTAACAATGTAAAATTAGCCCTTATACTTCTTTTTGAGAAATAGACTCTCAAAACTCATAAATTAAATTAAACAAAAAATGGTTTTACCTGTGGCTTATATTCTCCTCCACCACCATATTGACCAAACTCTGAAACATTGAGCTTCTCATGAATAGTCCCACTTGTCTTGTAAACACGATAGCTGCTTCTGATCCATCTCCTCGCAATCTCCTCTGCCATCTCTTTAGCCTCCTTTAGACCTGATCTCGCGAGCCCTGTCACGATCATCTCTTGTTGCGGTGCCCATCCATTCGGAGAATCCCTGTTCCAATGCGACCAAAATCTTAATATACAAGAACTGCTTTATAAACTAATTATATAAAGAAAGATTCAAAGTGAAAACTTGAACCACAAGTTTCATTTTACCACTGTTGTCCCGAGTTTGTCAAAGAGGTTAGGATTCCAGCGGGAGCGATGAGCCCTGAGTTTTTCAGAGCTTTCAAAACTTTCTTGACCAGATTTTCATCTACATGTTACAAAAATAAACTTTTAATACACAAAAAGATATGAACATGAGTACATATATATAAGTAGACAGAGTTTAACCTAAATGGAAGGAATTAATCCAGATTGGAGCAAAGTTAGATGCAAAAACATTGGTGTTCTGGCTCTCAGCTTTCCATATCTCAGGCTCCTGAAGAGAACAAACACATACACTCAGTGATTTCTCATCAAGTATACTAATTAGAAATGCGAAATTGTAACTAACTTACATCACCATTGGAGGAAAGCCAGTAATCTAGCCACTGCCCTGCTTTCTCGTTCCAAAACACGGTTTCAAAGGCTTTCACTCTCGCTTCTGACGCTTTCACAAATCGCTCTCTACCATTTTCATCCCCAGAAACCTCCATCATGAAAGCTATATCGAGTTCCATCTACAACAATCATATCACATTCAAATGCTTGTTAAAGAGCATATTCGCGTATTTTTGTGTGTGCAAGAAGCGTATTTAAAAAGAGAGTTATGATCAAGAAAGTGGAAACCTTGAAAAGAAAGACGTTAAGATCAACAGGTACGACTGAAGTTGTAGCCATTGTTGTGAAATTAGGTGGATCCCTGCATAAATTAATTTTGATATTAGATAAAATCAGTGACAGTAACATATACTAATCACAGTTTTAATTAAATAACCTCATCCATCGCGTGCTGAAATCGCATCCTGATTCAGCAGCCGTGGCTATATCTCGATGGAAACGCTGTTTCTCTAACGTACTCGAAAACCCTGAAGCGGATTCTTGATCCTGTGGTACACACATAGAGAGAGTCAACTTATTTTACCCGGTAGAAAAACAACAGTAAAACCTACGGCAAAGAGACAAGAAACATACGAAAACAGAGGATTCAGGTCTTGGCATGTTCCACATGGCGTAATAACGGCTTAAAATGTGATCATAACCACTAGCGTCTCGAATAACCACCTTATGCTTTCCTACAAAACAAAATATAACAGAGCCAGCATTAGATCTAACAAATAAATCTTTAAGATGAGCTAAACCATTATAACAAAGTAGCTAAAACTAACCTGAGTTCCAAAAATCGTACTCTTTGAGAAGCACAGGGATAGCTTTCTTCACAAGCTCCTCATCTTTTGTTACATTATAAATCTCATAGACCATTGAGCTCAATAGAGGTGGTTGGCTTGTAACAAAAAAACATAACAATTTATTTTCTATTAACATAACTTTTAGTTTCTGTAAGAAAAATGAGAATATCAAGATTTTTTGGGTTACCTTCGGTTAGTGTAATAAGCTCTGGCCCCGTTGAGAGCGTAACCATAAGTCTCCACAAGAGACATCAGATTTGTCACTAACCCTTTGGCCGTAGTGTGCATCTTACTCGTCAAGAGTCCTCTGCACGTGCAAAAAGCACACATAACATGACATTGACACGTGAGCTCGTGTAAGACAAGAGGAATAATAATCAAATAGAAAATATATATATTTGATTTGAAAGTATGAATCACTGACTTGATGACCCAGTAAGAATCCCAGTAATAGACCTCTCTGAACCTCGAACCGGGAATGATAACCGGTTCCGGCAACTGTAGAAGCGTGTGCCGTTCAGGAGACTCTCTCACGGCATCAGAAACTCTGCGGCTCAGTGTTGTCCACAGACCGTGCACCTCACGCGCCCATTCCCTGACTTGCTCGTTCTCCACGTTAAGGAGGAACCCGGAGGGATCTGAGACGAAATCCTCTGGTTCGTGGTGCACCAGATCTTCCCCTGCGCCGTCGAAGTATTGGTCGACGAATTTTTCAAGCTTGTCGACTGGCACTGACAGGTCACGTGATTCGCTCGTGAGATCGTCGAAGGCTGTCTCGACGGTGGAGAGATCGTGAGGGAGCTTGAGAGATAGATCAATGTAGGATTTAGGGTCAGGGGTTAGGGTTTTCGGGTAGGAACGGAGTGCCGTGAGCTGCACGCGCTGGAGGAAAGTGACGAGTGGTGTTGTGGGGATAACAGGACCTGAGTCCGAGTTTGTGTCCAAAACCGCCATGGAAGTAACAAAAGAAAAACAGAGGAAGAAGAATAAGAACAGAGGAGTGAGACGTTTCGTTTGAGGTAAAATGGAAGCAAAGAGAGGAAAAGAGTGGAGGAATTCATAGGGAAAAGATAAGGATGATAAGTGTGTGGATATTGGATCATTAGGGTTGTGTTTGCGTAGATTCATTGCCAAGTGTTTGAATTTGACTAGGGTTTTTAGAAATAACGCAACCCGAAAAGGAAAGAGGAGTTAAGTTGGAAATAAATACAGCTAAAAACCCTTTGGCTGACTCAGATGGATCATTCTAATTGGTTGTCTCAGGATGAGAACAATTTAGATTTTTTACTGATAAAGCTTTGTTGGAAATTGAGAACTTTCTTATAAAAGCAACATCAGTTTCCAAAGAGGTCAATGACTCAAAAGAAGAAAACAATCTATCAAAAACTTTGTTTTGGATCCCAAGTGAGATTCAGTAACTCATGTGGTCCTATAATACATGTTACAAATGACAAAGACGTTGTTTTTATCATCGTGATTCAGTAAAAGACAAACAAAAGATGTCTTCACTCCTAAGGAAACAAAAACGAGGCAGTTCAAATCAAACACGACATTAACTCTGAATCGTTGAATTCTTTCCTCCTTTTTACCAAACCTCAGGCCACTTAGTTCGTTCTGTGTGGAGACATTAGTTCTGAAATCACATTTATTGAATTTGAAACTATGCAACAGATCTCTGATTATCGGTTGCACAAAATAAATGAACAATGGAAAATTATAACAGTGGAAAATAAATTAGTGGAATATGGAAGTTAGAGGAAAAATTTGTATTCTATACTTGTTCATCTCCAAATTAGTAGAGGACAATGCTCCTTTTAAAATTGTTCTATTTTCCATTTTCCTCCAGCAAAATGAGTGGAATTTGTTTTACACACCTTTTATCACAAAAGAAACTTTAAACAAATGATCTTCAAAACATCAAACATATGGTATTCATTCAAAACCAAGTATAATCAGGTAAAAACAAACAGAACATTTTTTTTAAAAAAATTCAAATGTCGAGTCTCACATTTACAATTCAAAACGTCTGAAATTACCATAGCATTACAACGAAAAGATTTCATTACCGGAGGTCAAAACGGAGCTAAACGATGTCGTTTGGATGAGGAGCGGCGGATAGAGCAAGGGGACGGTGGTAAGACTCCTCGCCGTCTTCGTCTTCGTCGTCATGGGAGGTTGAGAGATTGACGCAGGAACAGCGTTCGAGGGAATTGAAGAAAGCGGAGATGACGGTGGCGCTGACCCAGCTCGCCACCTGATCGATCTTCTCCATGGAAGTCGTGCTTACGTTGGTGGTGATAGAGGTGCTTCTTTCCATGGCCTCCCCCATCCGATTAGGGTTTCAGAAGAGGAAGATCGTGGTGTGGGAAAATTCGTCGATTTGATTAGAGGAGAACGAGCAGATTGGGGAAGATTTTGACGATAAATACAAAAGGCATTATACGGGGTAGAGATTTAACAAAGGCATTATAAATAAGTTAGGGATCAATTGATCAAAGCCAGCGCATCTGGTGTAGTGGTATCATAGTACCCTCCCACGGTACTGACCAGGGTTCGATTCCCTGGATGCGCAATTTTGAACTTTTATTTTTAGTATGGGTTTTTTTCCCTTTCAACTAAGCCGAGACTTTCGGATAATTGGTAAAAGTGCGGTTTGTTGAAAAGAGGGTTTTCAGTTTTAAGTTTCAAGTTTTAACCTTCAACACATGCGTAACCTCGGGTCCTCATTTTAGGCGTTTTCTATGATTCTTGTTTACAATTTCAAATGATAAAAGAAAAAGAACAAAAAATATACAATGTTTGGAGTTAGTTTATAACTAAAATTTACTCCTAAGCTCACTCTCCACTTACAGTTACAAGTTACAACAAACACGTGTTTTTTCTTACAACTTTGTCCCATACACATTCTTCCTTCTTACTCAACCGAATCCCAAGAACAATCAAAATTCAAAAGTCAAAACAAACCCTAAACAGTAAAAAAAAGAATTATTTACAAAAGAGTCTGAATGAATTACCTCGGGTCATAATTCTCCGGTGCTCTCACAGGAGCTACCGAGGTTCGTCGTTGCATCATGAACCAGGAGCCGTACTATATTGGTACGGGAGGATCTAGGGATCTCGAGACATTCTTGAAGATCAGCATCACAAGCAATCAGAACCCACTCGTTATCATCGTCAAGATACTTGATATCGAACGTCCCTGCGTCAAGTTTCAGCCTCTTCGCCACTTCATCTTTTAATTCCATTATACCCGAACCACTTGATATCCTGAACCTTATTATGTCTTCCTTGTAACTTGCTTTAATGGTTACCGTTCTCATTTCTGAGCCTGAGGGCTCGCGTGTAATATTTACAATGGCTTCTTCCTTTGGAGGAGCGTATATGTTGTTGTTGTTGCTGTTGTTATCATTTGTCATCCAGTTTGAGTCCGGAAACTTATCCTCGAATGCTGCAGTGGAGCAGAGATTTCTCAGATCTTTTGAACTTCCAGCGTCTTCAATGGGCATTCCTCGGAAATGGTCTATAGTACCAAGAAGCCTGTTGGGCAATGAAAATGACGCGGCGGATACATCATGATCTCTTGAATATGGTGGAAAAAAGAGCCCTGGTGATCCACCGACCGTGAATAGCGGATCTTGGTTCAGGACTTTCGTTTCATCTAATTGGTTACCGTCACATGAGCCGTGAGAGGTCGGGGTCCCAGCGCTCTCATCCGCCGTTCGAGACCGCTTGTGACCGTTGTTTGGTAATTCAGGCGAACCATTTGGCTCGTGAGGACTGTGGTCACTTGACCAGTGGTTTGGTGAATTGTCGGTGTTTGGTAGCTCTGGTGGTTTGGAACCGCTCGGTGAGTTTAGTGGCTGTGCTGCTGTTTGATGACCGTGTGTCCAAGGGATGGAACTAACGGCCATGGAAGTCAAGTCGAGGCCTCCATCAGTGCCTTGAACAGATTCAATGACGCGTTTCAGCTTTGTGATTGAGCGATTTACTTTCTTGATCTTCCTCGATGGCCATCGTGAGATTCCGTGTTGTCTGCAAATTCGCTTCATTGTTGTCGGGCAAACTGAGACAAGACCAATATATGAGTTCAATTGAAATATTTTTAGCCAGTAACTAACCAAAACATGAAACTGTACATAGATGTTATATTACCTCCAAGGCTCTTTGCAGCGTCTTTGAGACTTCCGGTGAAATACTGTTGAAGTACATCCAGACTGATCGTTTTCTCAGTCTTCCCACGCTTTTTCTCTGTTTTCTTCTTCTCCTTAACCACACCATTGACAGTGGCCACGTTGCTTTTTTCGTTTACTGGATCAGACGACTGAACCGCATGCTGAGGAATCAACAATGTCTCTGTAGCGTTTGACTTGAAACCAGAAAAGGGAACTCGAATGGATTCTATTTTTGAATGAATCTTCTTGTCTGGTAATGCTCGGATGATCTCAAAAGACAATTTGTCGTCATCTTCACCAAAATCAACCCCAGATGCAACCCTCAGACTCTGAAAATGCTCTTTCATTGTCACCAAAAGAGAACCTAGCAGCGCATCTTGCTCTTGGTCGTCTGTTATACTTGAGGGAAGAAAGAATTCAAGAATGTAACTGTCGTCGCCTGTGTAAGAGCTCTGAAGAGAGATCGCAAAACAAGTGGTTAACTTGAACATGAGCGCGTAATGGACCAGCGGGTACTGCGTTTTGCAGAACTTGGTGATGTCTCTGCAGAAACACGAGCCACCGTTGAGAAAAGCTCGTCCAGCGACTCCCTGTCCTTTCTGGAGATGGTGTTCAAGACATGCATCTCTAAAGCCCCAGACATGAGCATCCACGACATAGCAGGCCATGTCGGTTGTGGACATGCAGACTTGGCCCATGCAGCTACCGTCAAAGCTGGTGCAGTTTTTCTTTAGACCGCCACCATTGGCAAGGACGCTACCGTGCTGGCATGGAACCCAAGTCTGAGCCAGGGGCAAGTTATGAGTCTCACATACAACTGTCAGCACTTCCAGAATCTCAGCAAGCGCGTTTTGGCGACTCTCATTGCATATCTGCAAATACAAAGTTAACCGAATACCGTGAGAACCCAATGCCTAAATGACCCATCAAATCACAAAATAATGCTTGTAGCTAACCTGAGTTGTTTGGTGATCAAGTATTTCCGAGCTTTTCAGATTTACTGCCTGCCAAAATTACCAAATTTTGTTATTATTACTGAGGAAATATGAATATAAAGCTCTGTACGAAAAACTACTTCAAAGCTGCAGTAAATCTCAAAAACAGAGAACTATCTGGATACAAAATAATGACAGACATTGAAGAAGCTCTATCTCATATTGAAGCCAGCAAGACACTGATATGAATTTGTTGATATTATCACAAACGAAACCGTGTTTCGTAAAGAAAGAGCTTCAAAATGGCAGGCTAGAGGAGCTGCAGAAACTTTTTATCAACAGTTAATTCTCGCTACAACTAAAGGCAAGAATTTCAACTTAAAACTCAAGTACAATCACACGAAGTTCTTGAAATCAATTCAGATAAGGAATAAACAGAGCAAGGCAGAAGTATGAACGGAAGTAAGAGAAGAAGTGAGGAAAGAGAATCAACCTCAAGGGCTTTGCAAACTCTGTCCACTTCGGGTGCATAGTGAATCTTCTCTGAGGTCATGATAAGTTCCACAACACCTATGCAGGACTCACCAGAGAGATTAAAGACAGGCAAGGCCAGTGTACCACGCACGTTATAGTGCAAGGCATGGTCAAGCCTCGAGAATTCTTTGCTGGAATAATACTGAACATTTGGTGTCCATTCAGGCAATTTCTGACGGAAAACTCGACCCGGGAGTCCGAGCTCTATGTCACTTTCACTATCCACAGAAAACATATATGTGAGAGAGATCATCCTGTATTGATTAAGCCCATTACCGTTAGGATTAAGAACAAAAGGTTGACCCAAAGTCGTCAGCAAATCACGACCATTCTTTCTCACAGGAGCCCAGACCTGAGCCAAAACGTGTTGTTCCGTTGATTCTTTGAAGTATCGAAGCGCCTGAGTCATCCTCTCTTTGATCACACAGTAGTTGTCTGCGTTCTCTGGCGGGACAAGGCTCATCAACGGAGAAGGAAACTGGAAACTGTTTTGTTTCTCTGCTGTGTTTTCGGCCACTGATGGAGAAGAATCTGCAATTTTCAGTGATCTTGCACCTTCAGATACTATAGCACCAAACATTCAGCTTAAGAAACTTGACATGTAGCCATTTTTGTAGAACTCATCTATTTTTAGCAATTTTATCATTTTACCGAAAAAAGGAACTGGAAAATACGGATGTGAGCTAGCAATAAAGTCTAAATAAGAAATGATTACAAGCTAAATAATCCACGAGAAATTTCAAACACTTAAGTCAAGAATTTGCAGAAAAATAAAGGAAAATGACCTAAAAATACGTATTTGACATAACCACCTGAACAGAGACAAACAAAGTCAAACGCGAAATCAATCAATCAATCAACCAAAATCTATGTTCAATCCGTAAGCAGGAACTTAAACTCAAGTTTAAGGCATTCCATTAGAATAACAAAATTCAAAAATCGAGCCTATGATCAATATGTATCGAAATTCCTACAATCTCAAAAAGGAAATAATATATTTCAAGGAAAAGTAAAAAAAAAAAGCTTGAAGTTCAGCGAGACTAACAAGGGAGAAAGAGAGGATAGTCGGCGAGACGGAAAGAAGGAACACCGGAGGCGGAGCTGATCTTCTCATCATCGCCACCGGCGGTCGCGTGGTTAGTTCCTCCACCGTCGGAGAAAGCCCAGAGAGGTGAGCAAGGCTGCTCAGAGGAAGACGAGACGAAAATCGGAGAAATCATGCGACTGGCTGAGGATAGGTAAGGGATTTGATCCAGCGGCCATGAACCGTCGAGATCCAAGTCATCAACATCCATCAGAAGCTCCCTTGACCTTGACGCTTGAGGAGTGACGCCGTTTCTGGCGGTATTATCATCGGGCTCGCACATTTTTCTAGCAGGTTTCTGGAATTTTCCCGGGAAAGTTTTCGTCTGCAAATTCGCTTCGTTAATCTCTTTTCTTCGATTGGATAGAGAAAGAGAACGAGAAAGGTCAAATTGGCAGTGTGTGATTCCATAATATCGCGGAATCAAACAAAAATAAATAAAAATAAAACAAATAAAACAATTTTCGGATAATATATTGGAACCGATTCTCTGCTTCACAATACAACTGTGTCCCCGGAAATATAAAATATTATTATTCCTCTATATCATTTTTTTAATATTCCTCGAGATTTTATTCACTGAATATTTGTGAGACCATGTATGTATATCATTAATCTGGACAGGTAAATAATAATAAAATAGAGTTGTATACAAAAATGAAAAAGACATTTGACAAAAAAAAATGTAT